GTGCACCCATTCACATAAAACCCAAATTTTGTATTCTTGGGACCAACATACCCCCACAGCATTTACCCCATGGCCTTGACTCTTGAGATGGCTGGGGCTAGAAGAAGCCTCCCCTTCCTTAAGGCAGGTGATATTTATAGCTCTTGCCAGGTGGAATTTGGGCCACCTGGTTGGGCTTTTGGGTTTGTGTGCTGTATGGAAGCCTGACCTGTTTCCATCTCTGGGTCACTTCCTGATGTGGTTGCACAGGCTGGATATAGTGTCTTGGACATTGAGTCACATGGAAAGTTGGATACTCAGAAGATCCAGAGAAAGTCTGTTCACTATGAAAACAGTGTTAGTGGAAGGGGGTGTGTAGTTTGGCAATGTTGACTTTTTGAGGTTTTGTTTTTCCTTACTCAATTGAATTTATAGTTGTCAAGAACTCACCTGGCTCCAAAGTGTCAGACACTAAAGGATTAAAGATGTCCTTCACTTCTTAGATGTTCAGTGTCTGGAAGGCTATTGGGTGTCTTGGGCCCTTTGCTCTTCAAGAGCCACCTTAGGTGTCTCATCTCTTTACTAAGCAGCTGTATAGACACAGTATAGCGGCCAGGGCCTAGATAGGGGTGCTGAGTCCAGGGACAGTAATTTAAGCCTTTCCCGAGTGCCCCAGAAACAGACACTTGGGGCATGTGTGGTGGTGGAAGGGTGCACTGACCCCCACCTGCCCCCTTTTCTGTGCAACAGTCCTGGCTGTCCTGGAACTCACTCTGTAGCCCAGGCTGGCCTCGAACTTAGAGAGCCACCTGCCTCTGCCTCCCAAGTGCTGGGATTAAAGGCGTGTGCCACCAATGCCTGACTAATAACTAAGGTTAACTCTCTAATGCTGCTATTTTTTTCCCTCTGGAGAATGCTCCTCTTTGTGAGAAGCCTGGATTCTCCCAAGGGTGGGCATAGCTGCAGACCCTGATCACTTGTGCTCTGCTGCTTTTCCTTTAGGCGGGCCCCCCAGGCATCCTGGCCCTGCTAGATGAGGAGTGCTGGTTTCCCAAAGCCACCGACAAGAGCTTCGTGGAGAAGGTGGTGCAGGAGCAAGGCACCCACCCCAAGTTCCAGAAGCCCAAGCAGCTGAAGGACAAGGCTGACTTCTGTATCATCCACTATGCTGGCAAGGTGAGGGATGCACCTGGAGAAGGAGCCAGTAGCTCTGTGCCAGGATGGGGCTCATCTCTAGGCATAGGAGCCAGGCAGCCCTGGGGTGGAGGTGTGGTCCAAGCAGTTTCTGGTAATATGGAGGTAACAGTAGTATGCCTGCATGTGGCTTTCATAGCACATTCAGGCCTAGCAAAGGTGTTGGAAGCCTGTGGAACATGTTTGTGGGTCAAGGCTGTGGTGTAATTAGAGGAGCTGTGGCTGTAATCTATAGCTGAAATGAGAGTTGAAGAATTTAGGAACTGAGTGACTTTGGACAAGGTGCTTAATCTCTCTGAGTTTCTGTTTTCTGATCTGGAAGCAGACAGGGATGAAGTGAACTCATGTGGGTCAGTACTCTAGGGCAAGGTTTCTCGGCCCCTGGCCTGTGCTTGCTGCAGTGTTGAATGGTGCTGTTTCTTCCACACCTGGCTCTCCTGCAAGAGTTCCAGCTGTAGTACCCGCCTGCACTGTCTCTAGACATTGCTAGTTGCCTTCCATTAATTACAAGCTGAAGGGAGTTGCCCCTGCTGTAGATAGCAGCCATTGTCGTGTGGTTACACAGCTGCTCTGTGGTAGAGCTGTGCTTGACTAGCATTCATCCCAATCTGTGTGCTCCTGGGGCTTCAGCCTTGGCTGCGCCTCCAAGGTGTGAGCTAAGAAGCTGCTGTTTGTTCAGAAGTCTCTGCATTTCTGCAGAGTCTCCGTTACAGCTGGAGCACACAGTCTGGACTGAATTGGCACCTCTTCAGTGGTGACCTTGAGTTTTTCCTGTGCTCTTCTGGCCTGTGTTGCCTGGCCCCTTCTGTGAAGTGGCTCTCTTAAAACTCCCCAGAAAAATACAATAAACCCCAAAGCACTATATGCATAGCTACCCAAGGAAAGTTCCCTGGCCTTATGTTTCCTCCCAGTGGTTCCCAGACCCAGCACAGAAGCTCATAGGATGTTTCTTCTGCCCTGTGATGTGTGACATGGAAGGCAGGGACACCCTCCCTGCCATCCAGGGTCTGAATGATGAAATTAGCTGTGCCATGTCTGCGCAGCGGGGCTGCTCAGCACTGGCTCTGGATTTTGCAGCAGGTACCTACTGCTCCTAGGAAAAAGGAAGCCCTTTTCTGTTCCTCACTGGCAGCAGCTTCCATGTGGGCTAGAGACAGGGAGGCCAAAATGCCTGCCGTTCTGCTTGTATTGTTCTGGGACCTTCTACAATGAAAGCAGGCCTCATGTTATTGAGAATGTATTTGTAAAAGGTTAGAACGGTTGCATGCAATTATAGACAATATGGGCCTTGTGAGAAGACAAGGAAAAGCAGAGGTTCCTGGCCTCATGACTACAAAGAAATGTTAGTTGACATGGAGTGTGTTCTGTGGCGGACATAAAAAGGATTTTCGCTTAGTTTCTTACTACTTTAAAGAAGACAGCATTCTGTGGTCTTTTTGTGACATCATTTTCTCAGCTGCCCCTTGTTGAATTCTTGTGTTGTTTTTAATGGTTGGCTTTCATTTGCAACACTGTAGACAACATCTTGTCAATACCTCATTGCTTCTGTCACTTGTCACCTGCTTCTTGGGGATAGCAGTACAAGGTCAGAGGGTGTTCCCACAGGGTTCTTCCATGTCCCTGGTTATGAGAGCCTGTGTCCCCGGAGTAACTCATGATGCAGTCTCTGCCTCTGTTAGGTGGATTATAAAGCTGACGAGTGGCTGATGAAGAATATGGACCCTCTGAATGACAACATTGCCACTCTGCTTCACCAGTCCTCAGACAAGTTCGTCTCTGAGCTGTGGAAGGATGGTACGTCCTTTGCCCTCCACCCCTGCCTCACACATGGTCCCCCATCCTCCCTGTGTGTGGTGAACCCAGGCACCATACAAAGGGCCTTGACACCAGCCAGGTGTTTGTTAGCCTTTGTGGCTCTCACAAGGAAGATCTCCCTGAGCTGAAAGGGAGAGGTTGCCCCGAACAGCGGTGTAGCCATGTCCTCCAGGGCAGAGGCGCCTCTGGCCTTTGCTGGCTGTCTGGCCAGGCACCTTCCACAGGTGACCAGCCCCCCCAGGTGGCTCCAGCCTTTGCCTCACAGGTCTGTAGTCTCTAAGCCTCATGAATTTCTGCCTCTCCTCCTTGGTAGACTGGTTTCTTTGAAGCTGTTCTTTTTCTGTCTCTTCTTTTCTCCTTTTCCTCTGCCTGGGTCTTGCTTTAACCTCTCTGTTGCAGAGATGCAGAACACTCAGAGAGCCTATTTCTATCGCCGCTTTCCCATTCTCCACCTAGAATCAGGTGACTGGCTGCCCCTAGTGGGGTCTGTTGTGTGGCGTACCCAGGACTGTGCATGTTTCTGTTTTATTTTCCTTACCCCATGGCTCCCCCTCCCTGGCTGTGCCTGTTCCCTATGCTGCCCTGGGCTCCTATCCCTATTATGTCTGGCACAGGCCTCAATGGAATGCCAGGTTTCTGAGGGACTGTGTTGAGATGTTGGAAGTTTTACATGTAGGGAAAACCATTAAAACCTGGCGACCTCCTTAGAGCTCCCCCTAGAGGCTGCGTCTTCTGCTTGGACAGCTGTGTGTCTTGCATGAGGTTCAGATAAGTGTGTCTCTTGCTGAAGGGCAGCTGTGTGACCCTTCAGCACTTATTCTGGCTGTGTAGTCCAGCAGCAGGACACATAGAGGTACCAGTCACCATGGGATCACATTCATCTTCCTCTCTAGGACCCAAGTGTTTTCTCCAGCCCACTCACCCCCAGGCTTTGGTGGCCAGTAAACTAGGCCCCGGGGTGGGTACTGAGATCAGATGGCTTGCAGCTTCACTGTGGCTTCCATTTTAAGCAAGTGGTTTTTTGCTTTTTGTTTGCTTTTAAACCATCCTTAAATAAGAGGGATCTGGTCACACAAGAGTAGGAACCCGTCTTTGCCCTAGAACTCACGGAAGCCTTCAGATTTAACCCTAGCTCTTGCTCAAAACTGATCTCAATGGCTGATGCTTTGGTTCGTTTGGTTTTGTGGTAACTGGAAAAAGCAGTTCATTTTATTGCTTCTGGGCGGGAGCCATACAGACAAGAGCCATGTCTTTTTGGGTTGGTCTAAAGGATGAAGGCTCGTGTGCAGCACCCAAGCACCATATGTTACCGTGTAAATGTTCCAAGGAGAACTTGGAAATGCTTTGGGCCAGCACTGGTTTTTCAGAACTCTTCCTAATGTTGCCATTTACTGCTGTTAGTCCTCTGCTGGGGAGGACCATATGTGGAGAGAATACTCTGAGCCCTGTCTACAATGGCAGAGCATCTCTGGAGATCCCTTTGCTTGGCTCCTAACACAGTGCTTATAAACAAAGTTCATTGTGAAGTCAAGATACTATTTCTTTTTCAGTTAGAACCACAGGAACCCACACTGACTAAGCCATCCTCAGGGAATTCTCTCTATTCCAAACACATTACCAACTTCATTGATTCTCTCTGGGAGTAGGGCTTCCATAGTTGGCTAGGTAGGGGACATGAGCGTAAAAGATCAGTCTTGGAGATGCATTAGAGATATGCCTTGGACTGTGCGGTTCCCCCTATACCTCCTGCCCAGGTCAGGTCTGTCCTACCCAAAGGCTTTTGCACTTTTCAGATCTGAGCAGAAGGGTCCTGTAGCTCCTTACTTACTGACTGATCTTTTTGTCTTGATGTCTGTCTCTCTTGTGTCCTCTGACCTGTCAATGTGGCACTGGAACTCAACAGGCTTTATGTTTTTCACAGTGGATCGAATCATTGGCTTGGACCAGGTGGCTGGCATGTCTGAGACAGCACTACCCGGTGCCTTCAAGACACGAAAAGGCATGTTCCGTACCGTTGGGCAGCTGTACAAGGAACAGCTGGCCAAGCTCATGGCCACGCTGAGGAACACCAACCCCAACTTTGTTCGCTGTATCATTCCCAACCATGAGAAGAAGGTGTGGATACTTGGCATGGCATGGTGGGGCAGGACAAAGCTGTGTCCCTACCAGCGGGATCACCTGCCCTTTTCTCACTGACTCCTGGGTACAGTAGTGAGTCCATCCACATGTGCTTTCCTTTCCAGGCTGGCAAACTGGACCCTCACTTGGTGCTGGACCAGTTGCGCTGTAATGGCGTCCTTGAGGGCATCCGCATCTGCCGCCAGGGCTTTCCTAACCGAGTGGTCTTCCAGGAGTTCCGGCAGAGGTGAGCTGGCCTGAGCCCTTTGCTTGGCCCAGGCTAGTTGTAGAGTAAACCTAGGTGGACGGCTACCTGAAGGAAACTTCGGCCGGGGCTGTGTTAGCGTCTGTGAACTGTAAGATCTGGCCAGCTCTCTGTGCATCGTTCCATGTGCCTTGCAGAGAGACAGTTTTTAGTTCTGGTACCGTCACTGTCTCAGGCACTGTGCTGTTACTGTGATGACGCACAGTGGGCAAGACAACTTAGAGGAGGGGAGGGTTGTTTGAGCCTCATAGTTTCAGAGGATTAGGACTCATCACTGTCACCTCCCAAGGTCACAAACTGGGGACCTAGCATTCAAATGCCGAGAGTACCAGAGGCATCTCTTTCAATCCAGCACAGCCACTTTTGTGAGAAGAGTCATCCCCATATTATCACTGGAAGGAATGTCACTGTGCTGGGTGAAGATGGGCTGTTGCTGTGGCTGCAGCAACAGATGCAGCCAGACACTTGGGCACTGAAGGGACTTTATGGAGCCAGGGCTGTAAAGTGCTGCAGCGTCTTGCTGTTTGTGCTAGTGATTTGAGCTTATGGGTCTAGTAACTGTTGAGTGAAGGTTGTGCCCATGATGCAGCCATTTATTTCTTGGGCTGACCTGCAGTGTCCAGGGAAGCTGCAAAGAGTGTGTCTGTCCCTGGGTCCCAGATGTCCTGGTCTCTGAGCAATTAGCAGGGTACAAGCACAGCCCTTAGCTTTATTCCCGGTGGCCGAAATGAGTTTTCCAGACTCACCCCTGCCTCTGCCACTTAGTCAAAGAAAGAGCAGGGTGTGACTGGGGTGGGACCCCTCTTTGGGAACTTGGTGAGCAGCACTACACTCCTGCTGTATCACAAGGGTGACCTTAGTTTTGATTAGTCCCTAGTCCATGCCGGAGTGAACAATGGGTAGAATGAACAACTTTTTTTTCCCCTTCCTCAGGTATGAGATCCTTACTCCTAACTCCATTCCGAAGGGCTTCATGGATGGGAAGCAGGCGTGTGTGCTCATGGTGAGTTCTGCTGTAGTTCCCTGGAGTGGGGACCTGTGGCAGTTAGGTCACAGCTGTTCATGTATTCATCCTGTGAGATGGTCATTTTGATCTGTGGACGCCTGTGCTACGTGCTCTCTGCTTGTGCTCAGGTTCTGGGTTTCCTAAGTGCCTTGAGAGGCTGCCCTCAAGGGCCTTGAGTGGTCAGGGATGTATTGGAATCAGGACAAAGAGCCAAGAACTTGGCCATGGGAGACAGGATAGTGACAGGACTTGGTTTGTTCCATTTGGGGAACATTCTGTTGCTTTTTGGTTTCATTTTCTTTGGCCTTGTGCTCAGCATATTCATGGCAGCTCACAACCAGGACTCAGGGGTCCTGGGGTCGGCCCAGCATCTGGAATTTGTGCCTCTTGACTTTCTTCCATATATCGTCCTGCCCTGGCTTGTCATGCAGTGCACACTTTGGGTTTTGGTTTAATGACCAGTGGTTCCAGTGTCTCATAGCCACACTCGGGCTCAGTCTCACCCTGGGCCCTTGCCCGTATTTCTTATGTATCTTCTTATTCCACTGCTTGCTGGCTCAAGAGTCATGGACACAGGGCTGCTGAATTGAGGTGTTGGAAGAAAAATTCTTCCATGTACAGGTTTGTTCAGTGATTGGGGGGCTGCTGAATTGAGGTGTTGGAAGAAAAATTCTTCCATGTACAGGTTTTTTCAGCTTGAGATGGGAAAGAATTGAGGCAGGGGGATACTGCCTGCTGTCCAGATGCTTGTCAGCCAGTAGTGGGCTGGACAGGGTGGGGGGGATCTTCTCCCCTGGGGTCTGGATTGCCTCTTCTCCATGGACCCTTGGCCACTTTCTTGCCAGGTGGTCTGTCTGCTCCTACAGGGACTAAAGTCCTTCCTGGCTTTTTCAGGGAAGATGAGTATGGCTATTCCTAGATCTTGTCACATGGTAAGAGATCTGTGTGCAGGCAGAGGACAGGCCACCTCCACCCCTATTCTTTGGTCTTTCTACCAGGACTTCTTGCCAGACTAGCAAGCTTCTTTATAACAGCAAAGATCTCTAAGAACCCATGTAGAATACTTACTGACAATGCCACTGGGAGCTTATTGTTAACACCCCCCCCCCCCCCCCACACACACACAGAACGGCTGTCTATATTAGTTACATTTCTCATTGCTGGAACCATGTACTTGACAAATGGCAACTTGAGGAGAGAGCGTTTGTCTTGACTCACAGTTTGAGGGTAGAGTCCATTATGGGGGAGAAGAGGAGGTGGTGGGAAGACGAAAGTGAGGCGTCTGCATCAGGCAGGAGACATGAAGAATGGCACTCAGCTGCTTTCTCCTTTCTCCCCTTTTTATTTATTACTCATTATCATTCATTCATTGCCCCAGTCTTTAGGATGGTGTCCCCTGTCTATTTTATCCTCAGGTATACTCTGGAAGCATCCTCACGAAGACACCTAGAGGTGTGTCTCCTGGGTGATAGTGAATTTAGTCAGTTGACAGCAGAGAGAACCCCCTAGCATATGGGCTTTCTAAGAGAGTTGCTCAAGTTTGCCATGATGATTAAACTTGCCTGGTACTCAGTGGGTGCTTTCACTTCTGTGCCGAGTGCTTCTGACACTCTTGGGTTTTGCCCAAAGCCCTTCTGGGAAGGAGGCACTGTTATTCTCTGTGTCCTCTTTTCTTTTTAAATCACAGCACCCCTTGCTTTTGCAGTTGAGGGTACGTCCCAGGGTCTCCAGAGGTCTTGGCTCCTGATGCCCAGGAGGGCACTTGTGTTAATCTTAGTGACAGTGTACTTTTAGCTGTATCATTGTGGACCTGGTCCTGGTTAACCATTTGTGGAGTGTGACTACAAAGGGTGCAGAGGCAGGAGGTAGAAGAGGTTTCAGGGGACTCCTGTGTTTCACAGTTTGGTTTTGTCACCTTGCTCCATGCTATCTATTCTTCCTCTTAGTGTCCCTGAATCCTGTATTCTCTGGTTCTGGGACAGAGGCTCATAGAGTAGGTGCAGCCACCCTCCAAGGACCGCTGGGATGACTGGACATTCCTCTGACGATACAGAGTGGTGCAGTCAGTGGTCTGCTTTTCTCTCTCTAGATCAAAGCTTTGGAGCTTGACAGCAACCTATACCGCATTGGACAGAGCAAAGTGTTCTTCCGGGCCGGTGTGCTAGCCCATCTGGAGGAGGAACGGGACCTGAAGATCACTGATGTCATCATTGGCTTCCAGGCCTGCTGTCGGGGCTATCTGGCCAGGAAGTAAGTTGCAGGGACCCTTACCCCATACACCCTCATGTGTGCTCCTGTTGCTGAGGAGTGCCTAGACAGCTGTAGGTGAAGGCCTCTGAGGCCGGGCAGAACCTTTGTGGGGATGGGCCCCAAGCTCTTTTTGCTCCTCTGCTTCCTGGATTTCTCTTGTCGATGGGCAGAAATGGCAATTTATGAAGGAGTTTAGAGGGACATATGGGAGTCAGGCAGCTGAGTTTTGATTTGTCCCAAATGTCTGTTTATTGTAATCCTTACTTTGCACTATGACAGACAGGCCCCATTGTGCCTGTCCTCATGGAGTTGTATGTTCCATGGAGGCACCGTGATCTCAGAGCATTCAGATTCCCCTTCTGTAGGACAGCGGGCAGAGCAGCAACATCCCAGTCCCTGAGTCTCTGGTTATTCTGTAGGGCATGTCCCAGTGTGAGCTGTGAGCCCCGAGGATGAGCATTGGTTTGTGATGTTGGGAGAAGTGGAACCCCCACACCCACACCATACTGCCCACTTTTGCAGCGCATTAGCTGCTGATACCGTTCACCTCCAGCATCTCAGACAGGAAGGCAGAACAGGGGTACCCCAAGTCCACATTCCCTGTCACAGTGAGCATCTCAGACAGGAAGGCAGAACAGGGGTACCCCAAGTCCACATTCCCCGGGCACAGTTGGAAATCGTGACCAAGGTCATAGTTAGATATTGCACTGAGTGGGGTCTGTCATTGGTTTTTGTTGGTCCTTTAGGCTTGTGAGTGCCTCAGTGTGAAGGGCAGTGAGTGACTGAATGACCTGAGCCCTTGCCAGTCGTGTGTTTGACTCGTGAGCCAGGGCGGGTTTGTGTGTGTGCGTGCGTGCGTGCGTGCGTGCGTGCGTGCGTGCGTGCGTGCGTGTTTTCCTTCACTCTGAGTTGCTGACTGTGCCCCTCACCTGCAGGGCCTTTGCCAAGAGGCAGCAGCAGCTGACCGCCATGAAAGTCCTACAGAGGAACTGCGCTGCCTACCTCAGGCTGCGCAACTGGCAGTGGTGGAGGCTCTTCACCAAGGTGGGTGCTGCAAGGCTGTGACCTGGAAGACTCTGGACAGGCGCTCTACAAGCAGCTCGACCTCCTTCTGCTCATGTAGAGCTTTCTGCCCATATCACGAGCTTTCCTGCAGCTCCCCAGAGCCCAGCAGTGTGAGCCTAACCTGGTCCTATTCATAGTGTGTGCCAGCCATACCACTTGTTTGCTATGGATGGCAGTGCCTGGGCTGGCTAAGTTAGAGAGCAGCTCTTGTGGGTGAGGCCCTGCCCAGCACTCTGGCCCCGTGTGAGAGACACTAGCCTCCTGAGGTACCCCAGGACAGCCTCTCAGAAGTTCTGCTTTATACCTCCAGTCTTTAAATACTCGGTGTAGTGGCACATGCCTTTGATCTCAGCTCTCAGGAGGCAGAGGCAGGCAGATCTCTGTGATTTCAAGACCAGCCTGGACTACACGGTCATTTCCAGGATAGCTAGCACTACATAGAGGCCCTGTTTTCAAAAAGAAAAAAAAAAAAGTTCCTTTGTAAAGTGTTCTGGTTTCTTTAGTTTATATTGCATGATAACTGCAGAATGTTACCTAAAAGCATTAGAAAGAGTATAAAACTTCACTCTTGGGCCCTTCACACTGAACCAATGCTATGATGCTTTTGTATTTATTCACACTCTTCTTTTCTCATTTGTAGTAAATGTCAGCTGTGTAAACTGCATGCATTCTTACATAGCTACGCTTTGACTTGTGTACACAGCCTTGTATTTTGCACTTTCTATTTAAAATTCCCATCAATATCAGTTTTTAGGATTCTTCCCTATGGGATGGTTCTGTGTATCATTCCTAAATTTGGTGCTATAAACAGTGCTGCCATGAACATCTTTATGCACACGTAGAGATGGTTTCTCTGCAATGTAATTAAGTGGGTCAGAGGCCTCTTGAGTATTGTACCAGACTGACTCCCAGGAAGGATGTACCTGCTTGTATCTACTTCCCAGATAGCAGGTCTGGTTGCCTGTCATCTCTAGAGCTTATATTCCAGAGACAAAGGAGCTGTCAGAGGTGGGCAACCCGTAGCTGGCCTTAACTCTGCCTCTGTCTTCTCTCCCAGGTCAAGCCCGTGCTGAACTCGATCCGACATGAGGATGAGCTGATAGCCAAGGAGATGGAACTGACAAAGATGCGAGAGAAGCACTTGGCTGCTGAGAACAGGCTGACCGAGATGGAGACTCTGCAGTCTCAGGTAGGTTTCAGAGGCTCCACCCATCAACCTCAGCTGTTCTCAGTGCTGCCCCCTTTTGGCCACCAGTGGGCAGGCTGGCTTGCAACTTAGAGAACGCTTGCAGTCCAGTGGGAGAGCAGCCTTCCCCATCTCTTCATACATCCTGATACATACATACAAGCTCTGGAGGGAGTCTGCTCAGTGGAGTGGAGAGCTGGTTTAAGTGTCCACCCTTCAGCCCATTTTATGGACGTGTGAAGCTCTTGAGGGAAGGCCCAGGGTAGAAGATGTTAGGGCTGTGCTGGAGCTTGAGCACTTCTGGCTGGAAGCTCATCTGTGGTCTTCTTGGAGGCCGGGAGCCTGAGCTATAAGCACCCACCCTGGAGCTGCTTGAAGAGTATACCAGCTTTCTATTGCTGTGACAATGTACCTGAGATAAGTGACTTGAGAGGCGGTTAAGAGATTCAGCCCTTGGTCACTGGCTGTGTTGTTTCTGGGCCCCAGTGGAGGTAGAGGGAGTGTGGTGGAGCAGAGCTACTCAGCCCATTGTACCAAGGAAGCAGAGAAAAAGAAGGGGCCAAGGTGTGCCCCCAGTGACCTTTTTGCTTCAACTAGGCCCCAGCTCCTAAAGTTTTGGGCAGCTCCTAACAGTGCATCAACTGGCAGCCAAGTCTTTATTGCCTGCCTTGGGAGACATGTCCCATCCTGCCTGCCAGGAGGTCACAGGGAACAGCCTTGCCTATGGTTTTTTTTTTTTTTTTTCCCAGCTAATGGCAGAGAAGCTGCAGCTTCAGGAGCAGCTGCAGGCAGAAACAGAGCTGTGTGCTGAGGCTGAGGAGCTCCGGGCCCGCCTGACATCAAAGAAGCAAGAACTGGAGGAGATTTGCCATGACCTGGAGGCCAGGGTGGAGGAGGAGGAGGAGCGCTGCCAGCATCTGCAGGCAGAGAAGAAGAAGATGCAGCAGAACATCCAGGTACCGCCTGCACCTGCTGGGCGGGGCACGGCGGGACATGGCGGGACATGGCAGGACACACAGATTGCTTAGGGGGGTCACCGTCTCTGGACACCAGTGGCACATGACAGGCACACGAATTCATTTGTCACATCACTATTCTTTGTCTGCTTGGGCACCCCTGTGGATGGCTTGCTGTTTGGGATGGTAGCTCGTAATGTGCAGCTCTCAAATCTGGATGAGCGCTACTCAGTTGAGCATCGAGGCTGTTGAACTTCTCTCTTTGGTCCCATGCTCCACCAGCCCCAGGCAGGTGGCCTTAGCACATGGCCCTCATTGTGACATGCTGGCTCAAGCAGCCCCGGGGACAGTGTGAAGCTGTGTCAGTCTTGTGCCCCAGTTCACATCCAGGTTCCCTGAATGAGTGCCGGCCAAGCATGAGTGTTATACGCCATTCTCATGTGTTCTCTCCCTTCAGGAACTTGAGGAGCAGCTGGAGGAGGAGGAAAGTGCCCGGCAGAAGCTGCAGCTCGAGAAGGTGACCACTGAGGCCAAGCTGAAGAAACTGGAGGAGGATCAGATCATCATGGAAGACCAAAACTGCAAACTGGCTAAGGTGGGGCCTGCTGTTCCATGCAATCATGGGGAAAGCAGGGCCATGGCCGCCTGTTGGCCTGCGGGGCCAGGGCTCTGCTCGGCAGTAACTTGCTTTTCCCAGGGTTCCCAAGGCCTCTGGGCACCAGGGTTTTCTCATGAATGAGGAGGCTGGGGGAGAGGCTTACCATTTTTTCTTGGTAAAGCTCTTTAAATACCAGGTGGTAGCCTCTTATAGTGGCAGGGATAGGACCACTTGTCCCTCCCCTAAATCAGTTGATACCCAGAAGCCTTTCTTACCTGACCCGGGGGAGGTCTTGGACTCCTACACGTTTAGCATCTGAGGATGTGAATTTACCCACATGTCTCAGTCAGGTGACTTGCCAGGTGGTCTAAGAGGGATCTTGGACCTAGTAAATCCTTATTAAGGGAATCCTCCTTTGAAAGAACTGAAGTGTGAGTCCTCAGCCAGCACTGTATTCTGATACTCTTCATCCACTTCCAGGAGAAGAAGCTGCTGGAAGACAGAGTAGCTGAATTCACTACCAACCTCATGGAAGAGGAGGAGAAGTCCAAGAGCCTGGCCAAACTCAAGAACAAGCATGAGGCGATGATCACTGACCTGGAAGGTGAGACCCGCTGGGCATGAGCTTCCTGTCCACCCTGATTGCCGAGCTGTGCATAGCTCATAGGCAAGGTGGACCCCGCCAGTGCTTGGCCACTATCTCAAGACAAGGCCGTCAGGCTTTAGGGATGGTATCTGGTGCTCTGGAAGTCGGGGCTGTAGACTCATTGCTGAATGGCTGGGCAGTTGTCTGTGTGAAGAGTGATAAGCACAGAACTTTGATATGGCGTGTGTTGGGCACGGCTGTTTCAGGAGCTGTTGAACATTGTCAGCTGTGGAGGGAAGAAAGAAGGAGGAACAAATTTCAGGTGCTGGGTTGCTCTGGAGACTCAGAGGCCTTGGTGGCTTGTAGAGCTGTTCCTCCATCTCATAGTTGTATGGTGTCCTTTTAAACCTTGTGTTTTACAAGTGCACAGTGTTTGGTTTCATGCAAGTAATTAAGAGTGCCCTCCCTGGCAGAGCGCCTCCGCAGGGAGGAGAAGCAGCGGCAGGAACTGGAGAAGACCCGCCGCAAGCTGGAGGGAGACTCCACGGATCTCAGTGACCAGATCGCAGAGCTCCAGGCACAGATTGCTGAGCTCAAGATGCAGCTGGCCAAGAAGGAGGAGGAATTGCAGGCTGCCTTGGCCAGGTAAGGCCCAGCTACTGGCCAGTGTTGCATGTGTACAGTGTTTTCCTGACCTATTCTTGGTGCTGCAATGAGCTATGAGCATGCTGTTTGCTCCTGTTGCAGAAGAGCCCATGGTGGATACTTCTGATCCACAGTGTGGTTCAGGGTGTTTAGTCTTCAAAACAGTCATCCACAACCCATTCTCTGTGGTTCTCCCTTATCCCCTTCCTACCCACATCCCTCATTCCCCTCCCTTGCCTTGCCCCCTTCCCCTCTCTGGTTTCCTACCCCTTCCTCTTTCCTTATTTGTTTATTTTGTGGCTATAGGCATATGTAAAAAAAAAATTGTACTTTTTAAGTTTTTTTTTTTTTTTTAACATTTTCTTATTGTGGGTGGGGGGGGCAAATGGGAGGTCAGAGAATACTTTGCCTGAGTCAGTTCTCTTCCACTCTGTGGGTCCCAGGGATTGAATTCAGTTGTCAGGCTTGGTTGCAGGCACCTTTACCTGCTGAGCAATTTCACCACCCTGTGCACATTTTCTTTTTATTATTTTTTTAAAGAGCAAATTTAGATTCACAGCAAGATTGAGCGGAAGGTTGAGATTTCTCATACATACCTTGCCCTTACATGGACAGCCTCTCCTTCCTTCCCTCCCTGAGCCGCTATTGTACAGTGGTCACAGCTGGTGACCTAAATGCCTCTTTTTGGTTTCTCGAGACAGGGTTTCTCTGTGACTTTGGAGGCTGTCCTGGAACTAGCTCTTGTAGACCAGGCTGGTCTCGAACTCACAGAGATCAGCCAGCTTCTGCCTCCTGAGCGCTGGGATTAAAGGCATGGGCCACCACCACCCAGCTGACCTAAATTCCTCCCAATCATGTAATTCCAAAGCATACCCACATTTTTACTTATAGTCGCCATGAAACATAATGCTTTATTTCAATATTTGAGGTAATTTTAATTTAGAAAGGGAAATAATTCGCTGTCATTCTCAAATGGTATTTCTCCTTAATAAATATATTATGTATATATGTGTGTGTGTGTGTGTGAGAGAGAGAGAGAGAGAGAGAGAGAGAGAGAGAGAGAGAGAGAGAGAGAGAGAGAGACTGACTGTCTCTACCTGGGGACCAGCAGAAGGCACTAGAGCTCCTGGACCTGGAGTTAACAGGCAGTCGTGAGCTGCCATACAGATACTTGAAGTTGAACTCAAGTTCTCTGAAAGAGCAGCCAGTGCTCTTGTCAACTCTTGAACCATCTCTCAGGCTCCACATGGTATTGTTTTTTTGTTTTTTTCGAGACAGGGTTTCTCTGTAGCTTTGGAGGCTGTCCTGGCACTCACTCTGTAGACCAGGCTGGCCTCGGTATTGTTCTCAAACACCCTGGATGGATGAGCTTTGCTGAGGTTGACCCGAGTTCATGATTGTGACTGCCAGATGCTGCTTTGGCTGCACCTTCCTAAGGTGGCCTCGTACTGATGTCACTGATCTCTTTGGCAGGGTGGAAGAAGAAGCTGCCCAGAAGAATATGGCCCTGAAGAAGATTCGAGAATTGGAAGCTCAGATTTCTGAGCTCCAGGAAGACCTGGAGTCTGAGCGAGCCTCCAGGAATAAAGCTGAGAAGCAGAAACGGGATCTTGGAGAAGAGTTGGAGGCACTGAAGACAGAGCTGGAAGACACCCTGGACTCCACGGCTGCTCAGCAGGAGCTGAGGTGTGCCACTTGGAGGGTGGGCCATGCAGGACGGGGAGGTGGTGAAGCTGGGGAGGCCTGACCAAGGTGCAGTCCTCTGCATATATCACGCACGGCACAGTCCTCTGCACACACATGCTGGCCTGTCTTTGCATGACCCAGGGAGCATGTGTGCTGATGGTTCCTCAGTTTACTGAGTTAGGATCCCTGCTGAAGACCTGATGAGACAGGACGGACCCTACTAGGGTTGCAAAGGCATGAGTCTCTGCAGTGTGCATGCTAGACTGGGCCTGAGGGTGGATGGATGGTTAAGGAGGGAGGTCAATGGTAGAGAATCTGTGGGAGTCTGGGTATGGTGCAACTCACCTGTGATCCAGCACTTGGGAGATGGAGCCAGAAGGGTCAGGAGTTGAGGGTTATTCTTGGCTACACAGCAATTTTAAGGAGAAACCAGGAGAGAGAGAGAAGCTATGTGAAGTGGTTCTGCCTCTTTCAGCTCTGCAGTCGGAATGAACCAAGGGACAACAGTCCCCTAGGGATGCTTGGCCTCCACTCTGAGCGTGTTTTCTTTCCAGGTCAAAACGTGAGCAGGAAGTGAGCATACTAAAGAAGACTCTGGAGGATGAGGCGAAGACCCATGAGGCCCAGATCCAGGAGATGAGGCAGAAACACTCACAGGCCGTGGAGGAGCTGGCTGAGCAGCTGGAGCAGACTAAGCGGGTACAGGAACTCTGGGAAAAACACACTATGTCTGGGAAGGGCCAGGATGGGGCTTGCTGTATCTATACCAATGTCTGGGGAGATCAGAACAGGTGTCTGTGGCTGGGGGGGGGGCGACTTTGTCAGAATGACCTGGACAAATAGTTCCTCCATGCCTTAGTTTTCATGCCAATAAAGGAGGATGGTGGCTAGTCTGTCTGTCTTGTTATTATCTGAGTTGAATTGAGCATACTGTAAAGCATCTGTTTTCATCTGTAATACCAAAATGCTCAAGGAATGCCCATGACCTTCTGCCTGAGCCAAAGGGGGCCTCAATGGTCTCTTCTGACTAGGACACCCTTCTTACACACTAGCAGCAAACATCTTACCAGGAAACCCTGGTGATGTCCATCCAGGTGGTTGATAGCTGGCAGCTTTTTCCAGGCGGGTTCTGCCTTTTGTCTTCCAGCTCCTATCATTATCGGTGGCAGCTAGAGCAGTCCAAGTCTCTTCCATGTGACAATCTAAAACATTTAGAAACATACCTTGCTACACCTCCACCAGCACTGTGAGATCTTTTCTTTAGTGGTTTTACCCAGCATGGCTTTGTACTCAGGGTCTTGTTACCCTTGTCCTTGCTGAGCTCACTCAGTGTTGTGTGGAATGGAGTTGTTTTGCATCTATTTTATGAGCTGCACATTTTTGAGACAGGATGTGATTATGTATCTTTGGCTATGTTATCTTGGTTGTGGTGTGCTCAAGGCTGTGTCACTGCACCTCCTCAGTGTCCCCCTTGTCCTCTGAGTAGGAGCTGCTGCAGGAGGAGAACCGGCAGAAGCTGAGCCTGAGCACCAAGCTCAAGCAGATGGAGGATGAGAAGAACTCCTTCAGAGAGCAGCTGGAGGAGGAAGAGGAGTCCAGACGCAACCTGGAGAAGCAGATTGCCACCCTCCATGCCCAGGTGCCTCTACCTCCTGGGAAGAGGGAAGTGATGGAGGCGGGTCCAAAACTGTGCTGAACCCCTGAAATTCCCACAGTGCAGCAGGCTTGTTCCTGGATGTCCAGACTAGGTGCCAGTGTGGGTGTTTGCTTAATTTCCCCATTCTGCCCAGGTGACTGACATGAAAAAGAAGATGGAGGATGGGGTCGGGTGCCTGGAAACTGCAGAGGAGGCGAAGCGGAGGCTTCAGAAGGATCTGGAAGCCATGAGCCAACGGCATGAGGAGAAGGTAGCTGCCTATGATAAGCTGGAGAAGACCAAGACTCGGCTACAGCAGGAGCTGGATGACCTGCTGGTAGACCTGGACCACCAGCGGCAGAGCGTCTCCAATCTGGAGAAGAAACAGAAGAAGTTTGACCAGGTGTGGCTTCCACTCTATCTTCTATGTCCTCCCTAGGCAGGGCAGTGGCGTGGGCATGTCCAGGTGCCCAGTCTGCAGCTTGGTGAGGGGCCCAGGGAGGAAGTAACCAGAAGAGGAGTTAGGATTTAGATTTTAACTAGCTCTTGTTCCACCATGGAGATGCAGACACTGGGGCCAGATGGTATAACAGACTAAAAACACCAGGGTCCCTTTTGGTATGGCTGCGTGTATGCATGTTCCACAGTGCATGTGTCGAGGTCAGAGGACAGCTAGCAGAAGTCTGTCTTCTCTCATCAGGCTTGACAGTTACCTGCTGAGCCTCATGTGTTTCTAGATAAAGTTTCATTATATAATGCCTGGCCACATTTATTTATATGCTGCCACTGGCTTTTTGTGTGATACAGTGGCAGAGCTGAATGAATGGCTGCTACAAAAGGCTGTGCACAGTGGCCTCTACTGTACTTTGCCTTTCTTGCCCTTTGTGAAAAGGTCCCCCAACCCATGGAGCAGGTAAAGGATGAGCCAAAAGGACAAGGAGGGCAGGAGGATAAGGGATAGCAAGGTTGGGTCCACACAGAACAGGCATAAAGGTTGCGGCCATCTTTGGAGGATGGCCCTATCTGGGATTTATGGTTTTAAGCAGCCAGGATGGCATCTTTTTAAGAATGCCATGAGCCTGTTCATTTTGAGAACCAAGTATTTGCCAGGTTCAGGGTGGGTGGTGATTTTGTTTGTGGGCTCCCTT